GGTGGTTTTGGTTCCCCCGACCAAAACCTGTTTTGGGGGTAGTCCCCCATACCCATTTCCCGGGGGGTGGCCGTCAAACCCCCAAACCCTCCCCGTGGTGGTTTTCACCCCATACCCCAAACCTGTTGGGGGGTAGTCACCCCCGTACCCCTCTGTGGGTGGTAGGCACCCTGTACCTGTCCCCGTGGGTGGTATCACCCCATAAACCCAAACCTGTTTGGGGGGTAGGGACCCATACCCAACCTTTTGGGGGGAAAGGGCACCCCCCCTTCCCATTCCCAGGGGTGGGAATCACCCCCCAACCCCTCCCCCGTGGGTTTTTATAAACCCCTAAACCCCCCAAATTTGGGGTGTAAAATCACCCCTTTCCCCTTTTGGGGTGGAAAATTTACCCCCAAACCCCTCCGTTTGGGGGGTAGTCCCCCCCTAAACCATATGGGGGTTTGGGATCACCCCATTAAACCCCTCCTGTGGGGGGTTTCCCCCAAACCTATCAGTGGGGGGGTATTTACCCCATACCCATCCTGTGGGGGGTTTTGTCCAAACCCCTACCTTCATGGGGTTTGGGAGTCACCCCTACCCTCCTGTGGGGGGTAAATTTAACCCATAACCCATCAAGTGGGGTTTATAAAAAAAATTTCAGAAGGGACAAAAGGGGTCCGGGACTTAACCCCCAAAATTTTTTATTGCTGAAAACAAAGGGTTTTGAAGGTTAAAATCACAATTTTCAAAAGGGAATGAAAATCCCGGGAGGTCCCGGGCACAAACAAAGACAAGTTACAAAAAATTTACATTTTCCCGGGGGGATTTAATGGGTCCAGGGACTGGGCCTGCAAAGTTTTGATAGCTGAACTAAATACAAAGGTAATGAACTCACAAGTTACAAAGGTAATGAACTCACAAGTTACAGAGGTAATGAATCCTGTAAGAATGGTTACTTACGTTTATACATGGCAGCAATCATGAACAAATTATAGTGTAGTGAGCAATTCACACTTCCACACTTAGTCACAACTGTAATGAGTTATTGGTGCAAATATTGATTGTTGTGTCACACACACACACACACACACACACACACAACACACACACACACACACACACACACACGACACTGGAGGCCAGGAGGGTCAGGGGAGACATGATAACGACATATAAAATACTGCGCGGAATAGACGAGGTGGACAAAGACGGGATGTTCCAGAGATGGGACACAGACACAAGAGGTCACAATTGGAAGTTGAAGACTCAGATGAATCAAAGGGATGTTAGGAAGTATTTCTTCAGTCATAGAGTAGTCAGGCCATGGAATAGCCTAGAAAGTGATGTGGTGGAGGCAGGAACCATACATAGTTTTAAGGCGAGGTATGATAGAGCTCATGGAGCAGGGAGAGAGAGGACCTAGTAGCAATCAGCGAAGAGGCGGGGCCAGGAGCTGTGACTCGACCCCTGCAACCACAAATAGGTGAGTACAAATGGGTGAGTACACACACACACACACACACACACACACACACACCCACACACACACACACACACACACACCCACACACACACACACACACACACACACACACACACACACACACACACACACACACACACACACACACACACACACACACACACACACACACACCCACACACACACACACACACACACACACACACACACACACACACACACACACACACACACACACACACACACACACACACACACACACACACATGCACATATGTGGTAATGCTTTATTTACAGCTAGCAAAGTCAGGGTATTTCTCCAGAATGGTCTGTAATATACCACTGTGGATAAAATACTTAGCCATTTCTTGAACACTTCTGAGTGAGTTGTCTCTAAATTCATTAATTTGATCGCACTCCAGTACATAGTGACGTAGGGTGTGACGCTCTCCAGTACATAATGATGCAGGGTGTGACGCACTTCAATACATAATGACGCAGGGTGTGACGCACTCCAGTACATAATGACGCAAGGTGTGACAATAGTCCATCTGGCAAAGTTTACATTTCGTTTGGTCTACATCTGGTGGTGGTGATTTAACCTGCCGGAGCCGGGCAGTAGTGACATCCTAGAGTCTGCTTATCTTATAGGATGCACCATAGACATGTGGCTCCTCCTGTATGATAGAATGATGATAGATGGACTGACTGGTGTCAATCTCCCTGAGTCTTAAGTCAATAAAATTCAGTTGAAGTTCTTTTCGTATTATTGTTCTCAAACTGCTAACTGACAACCCAAGATTGTAATCCACCCCCTCTCTGAGAGCATACAGCTTATCCAATTTATCAGTTCTATCATGCATCCGAAGACCAATGTGAGATGGAATCCACAGCATGTGCACTCTGACTCCACTGTCCACAATCTTACCATACCTATGTCTGGCTTCTGACACAAGCATGCCACAATTTAGTTGAGGACATTTATGGATGACAGAGAATCAGTTACAATTAAAGTGTCAACCTTAGATACATGGATGCATTTCAGTGCAAGGAGTATGGCAAACAGTTCTGTCTGAAGGGTAGAGGCCCAGTTATTGATGAGTGCTCCAATATCTTTATGAGAGCCATCACTCTGTATGACAACAGCAGCACTACCAGCTGCACCAGTGTACGACAACAGCAGCACTACCAGCTGCACCAGTGTATGACAACAGCAGCACTACCAGCTGCACCAGTGTATGACAACAGCAGCACTACCAACTGCACCAGTGTACGACAACAGCAGCAGTACCAGCTGCACCAGTGTACGACAACAGCAGCACTACCAGCTGCACCAGTATATGACAGCAGCAGCACTACCAGCTGCACCAGTGTATGACAACAGCAGCACTACCGCTGCACAGTGTATGACAACAGCAGCACTACCAGCTGCACCAGTGTACGACAACAGCAGCACTACCAGCTGCACCAGTGTACGACAACAGCAGCACAACCAGCTGCACCAGTGTATGACAACAGGCAGCACTACCAGCTGCACCAGTGTATGACAACAGCAGCACTACCAGCTGCACCAGTGTAACGACAACAGCAGCACAACCAGCTGCACCAGTGTATGACAACAGCAGCACTACCAGCTGCACCAGTGTATGACAACAGCAGCACTACCAGCTGCACCAGTGTACGACAACAGCAGCACTACCAGCTGCACCAGTGTACGACAACAGCAGCACTACCAGCTGCACCAGTGTACGACAACAGCAGCACTACCAGCTGCACCAGTGTACGACAACAGCAGCACTACCAGCTGCACCAGTGTACGACAACAGCAGCACAACCAGCTGCACCAGTGTATGACAACAGCAGCACTACCAGCTGCACCAGTGTATGACAACAGCAGCACTACCAGCTGCACCAGTGTACGACAACAGCAGCACAACCAGCTGCACCAGTGTATGACAACAGCAGCACTACCAGCTGCACCAGTGTATGACAACAGCAGCACTACCAGCTGCACCAGTGTACGACAACAGCAGCACTACCAGCTGCACCAGTGTACGACAACAGCAGCACTACCAGCTGCACCAGTGTATGACAACAGCAGCACTACCAGCTGCACCAGTGGACTGGTGTAAAGAACCATCAACGTAAATAATTTGCGAGAGAGTGTGCTGTGTGACTTAAGTTATCAATACACCTTGAGGCATCATGTTTGGCTTCAAGGCAAAGTTTTGATTGTGATTTAAGTAGTTTGGGGGGAAATTGAGGAATGGTAGTTTGGAATGGGGTAATATCCCATGGAGCGGAGAAGTGCCGCTGTTACCTTACTTGACATAGATCATGTATCTGATTCATGCAGAGGTCGGTTCCAGTTTTTTCGATCCATCTGGAGGAGTGTTCACCAGTGCTGAGGAAAGTTTGGAGGGCTTCTGTGCAGGGGTTTGAATGAGCTTGCCTGAGCATATTAACCCCAATTAGGATATTCCTTTCAGTAACACGTTCTCTGATGCTTGGAATATCAAGTTCTTTTTGCATGTTTAAAATTTTGGCAGTACGAGAGAAATCTAAAATGATCTTCATTGCTTGGATCTGCAGTTTTTCCAGCCCTCCAAGCTTCCAGTCATACACAAGAGCAAGTAGTGGCACCGCATAATCAACCAGTGATTTAATATAAGCAAGATACATCATTTTCACAATTTTAACATTAGCACCATACCTGGGGTGAAACCCAGCCACAACTCTAAGTGCTCTTAGTCTTTCTTTGTATTGGCGACAAAGTCTTGTTACAACAGGTCCAAGTAGTGGGAGGTGCTTGAAACAAGTACGCTTGTTGTATCCCGTCTCGTAAATATTAGGATGATAGGATTGGTTTGATTACTAGAGTTTAGGACTGATTTCATTAATTACTAGTAATTCGTTGTTTAGTTAGTATAGCGAATTTTAATACCGGAAGTCTGGGTGACACTTCCCTTCATAAATTAAAGAAAATAATTATCTTTATCCTAAATATTATTTTAATAAGGAGGTGGTAAACTCATACTTCCCGTCATTGTATATCGTCTTGAGCATCTGTGCGATGATATAATTACTTACGGTACCCCGAGGCCTGCTGGCAAAAGCTCTCACTTCACACGGTGAGGGTCCGGGTTCGATCCCCGGTGAAGGGGTGGAAACATCGGACGTGTTTGTTTACACGGATTGTCTGTGTTCATCCATCAGTGAAATGGGTACCTTAGTGTTAGTGGACTGGTGTGGGTCGCATCCTGGGATAAAACTGACCTAATTTGCCTGAAATGCCCTGCATAACAAGAGACTTTCTATATAATAGTATGTCATTGATATAAGCTATGGTCTGTATACCTTGTACATGTTCTTGTAGTAAATAAAAATATTATTATTTATATGTATAATTATCTCTTTCTGCTAATGATATAAAACTGTTTACCAGCGATTATTCATTCCCTCAATATCTATGACTTGTAAGTTAGCATGTACAGCAATAAAACTTAATTTTTTATTTCTCACGTTCCTCCATTAGGCTATAATGAGGACATACAACACCAAGATCTGTACAAGTTGGTTATTGTGGTGTGGATCATGCTAGCACTAGGCTACTGGTTCTTACTTCACAGTTTTCTCCAGAAGGTCTTCAGAAACGACGTCCCTCAGATAATCAGGAAATCGCTCAGACGCTCCTTGAAAATTAAGAGACAACCAGAATTCTTCAGGCAGCTGCTTGGTAAGGTAAGAGACTCAGCAAGTTGCTTTAAATAAACAATATATTTCAAAATGTAATGCATGGTGAAAATTTGAGAGATATATTTTTTTACGAAATTATATTGAAAATATTGATTGTTGTTTTACGAGATTAAGGCCATCGGACACTTTTAACACACTAAATCAGCAAGGAAATCGTGCCATCCTATGTGTATATCTATATATCAACTGTTTTAATCTTTCAACTTTTCTATTGTTTTGTCTGTATTAAACTGTAACTATTATCACATAGACGTGACTAAGTCATGGCTCGGTACGTCTCCTTAACTTATTTACTGTAACTCATGAGATAATGTTAAGCTGACTCCTCTGTATATCATCTCAATGAGCAACACTGGATGAGTGAATGAGTCACATGCGGTACAGAAGACACACTGAATGAGTGAACGAGTCACACACGGTACGGAAACAACACTGGATGAGCGAACGAGTCACATGCGGTACGGAAACAACACTGGATGAGCGAACGAGTCACATGCGGTACGGAAACAACACTGGATGAGCGAACGAGTCACATGCGGTACAGAAGACACACTGAATGAGTGAACGAGTCACACACGGTACGGAAACAACACTGGATGAGCGAACGAGTCACATGCGGTACGGAAACAACACTGGATGAGCGAACGAGTCACATGCGGTACAGAAGACACACTGAATGAGTGAACGAGTCACACACGGTACGGAAACAACACTGGATGAGCGAACGAGTCACATGCGGTACGGAAACAACACTGGATGAGCGAACGAGTCACATGCGTACAGAAGACACACTGAATGAGTGAACGAGTCACACACGGTACGGAAACAACACTGGATGAGCGAACGAGTCACATGCGGTACGGAAACAACACTGGATGAGCGAACGAGTCACATGCGGTACAGAAGACACACTGAATGAGTGAACGAGTCACACACGGTACGGAAACAACACTGGATGAGCGAACGAGTCACATGCGGTACGGAAACAACACTGAATGAGCGAACGAGTCACATGCGGTACGGAAACAACACTGAATGAGCGAACGAGTCACACGCGGTACAGAAGACACACTGAATGAGTGAACGAGTCACACACGGTACGGAAACAACACTGGATGAGCGAACGAGTCACATGCGGTACGGAAACAACACTGGATGAGTGAACGAGTCACATGCGGTACAGAAGACACACTGAATGAGTGAACGAGTCACACACGGTACGGAAACAACACTGGATGAGCGAACGAGTCACACGCGGTACAGAAGCAACACTGGATGAGTGAACGAGTCACACGCGATACAGAAGCAACACTGGACGAGCGAGCGAGTCACACGCGATACAGAAGCAACATTGGATGAGTGAACGAGTCACATGCGGTACAGAAGCAACACTGGAAGAGTGAACGAGTCACATGCGGTACAGAAGCAACACTGGATGAGTGAACGAGTCACATGCGGTACAGAAGCAACACTGAATGAGTGAACGAGCCACATGCGGTACAGAAGCAACACTGGATGAGTGAACGAGTCACATGCAGTACAGGTGCAACACTAGATGAGTGAATGAGTCACATGCGGTACAGAAGCAACACAGGATGAATGAACGAGTCACATGCGGTACAGAAGCAACACTGGATGAGCGAACGTGTCACACGCGGTACAGAAGCAACACAGGATGAGTGAACCAGTCACATGCAGAACAGAAGCAACACTGGATGAGCGAACGAGTCACACGCGGTACAGAAACAACACTGGATGAGCGAACGAGTCACACGCGGTACAGAAGCAACACTGGATGAGTGAACGAGTCACATGCGGAACAGAAGCAACACTGGATGAGTGAACGAGTCACACACGGTACAGAAGCAACACTGGATAAACAAACGAGTCACATGAGGTACAGAAGCAACACTGGATGAATGAACGAGTCACATGCGGTACAGAAGCAACACTGGATGAGTGAACGAGTCACATGCGGTACAGAAGCAACACTGGATGAGCAAATGAGTCACACGCAGTACAGAAGCAACACTGGATGAGTGAACGAGTCATATGCGGTACAGAAGCAACACTGCAAGAGTGAACGAGACACATGCCGAGCAGAAGCAACACTGGATGAATGAACGAGTCATATGCAGTACAGAAGCAACACTGGATGAGTGAACGAGTCATATGCGGTACAGAAGCAATGCTGGAAGAGTGAACGAGTCACATGCGGTACAGAAGCAACACTGGATAAACAAACGAGTCACATGAGGTACAGAAGCAACACTGGATGAATGAACGAGTAATATGCAGTACAGAAGAAACACTGGATGAGTGAACGAGTCAGATGCGGTACAGAAACAACACTAGATGAGCAAATGAGTCACACGTGGTACAGAAGCAACATTGGACGAGTGATCGAGTCATATGCGGTAGAGAAGCAATGCTAGAAGAGTGAACGAGTCACATGCGGTACAGAAGCAACACCGGATGAGCGAACAAGTCACATGTGGCACAGAAGCAACACTGGATGAGCAAACGAGTCACATGCGGCACAGAAGCAACACTGGATGAATGAACGAGTCACACGCGATAGAGAAGCAACACTGGACGAGCGAACGAGTCACACGCGATACAGAAGCAAAATTGGATGAGTGAACGAGTCACATGCGGTACAGAAGCAACACTGGAAGAGTGAACGAGTCACATGCGGTACAGAAGCAACACTGGATGAGTGAACGAATCACATGCGGTACAGAAGCAACAATGAACGAGTGAACGAGCCACATGCGGTACAGAAGCAACACTGGATGAGTGAACGAGTCACATGCAGTACAGGTGCAACACTAGATGAGTGAACGAGTCACATGCGGTACAGAAGCAACACTGGATGAGCGAACGTGTCACACGCGGTACAGAAGAAACACTGGATGAGTGAACCAGTCACATGCGGTACAGAAGCAACACTGGATGAGTGATAGAGTCACATGCGGTACAGAAGCAACACTGGAAGAGTGAACGAGTCACATGCGGTACAGAAGCAACACTGGATGAGTGAACGAGTCACACGCGGTACAGAAGCAACACTGGATGAGTGAACCAGTCACATGCGGTACAGAAGCAACACTGGATGAGTGAATAGAGTCACATGCGGTACAGAAGCAACACTGGATGAGTGAACGAGTCACATGCGGTACAGAAGCAACACTGGAAGAGTGAACGAGTCACATGCGGTACAGAAGCAACACTGGATGAGTGAACGAGTCACATGCGGTACAGAAGCAACACTGAATGAGTGAACGAGTCACATGCGGTACACAAGCAACACTGGTTGAGTGAACGAGTCACATGCGGTACAGAAGCAACACTGGATAAGTGAAAGAGCCAAATGCAGTACAGAAGCAACAATGGATGAGTGAATGAGTCACATGCGGTAGAGAAGTAGCACTGGATGAGGGAACGAGTCACATGCAGTACAGAAGCAACACTGGATGAGTGAACGAGTCACGTGCAGTACAGAAGCAACAATGGATGAGGGAATGAGTCACATGCGGTACGGAAGCAACACTGGATGAGTGAACGAGTCACATGCGGTACAGAAGCAACACTGAATGAGCAAACGAGTCACATGCGGTATTGAAGCAACACTGGATGAGTGAACGATTCACATGCGGTACAAAAGCAATACTGGATGAATGAACGAGTCACATGCATTACGGAAGCAACACTGGACGAGTGAGCGATTTATATGCAGTGCAGACGCAACACTGGATGAGCGAACGAGTCACATGCGGTACAGAAGCAACACTGGATGAGCGAGCGAGTCACACGCGGTACAGAAGCGACACTGGATGATTGAACGAGTTACATGCGGTACAGAAGCAACACTGATTGAGCAAACGAGTCACATGCGGTATTGAAGCAACACTGGATGAGTGAACGATTCACATGCAGTACAAAAGCAATTCTGGATGAGTGAACGAGTCACATGCATTACGGATGCAACACTGGATGAGTGAGCGAGTCTCACGCTGTACAGAAGAAACGCTGGATGAGTGAACGAGTCACATGTGGTATAGAAGCAGCACTGGATGAGTGAACGAGTCACATGCGGAACAGATGAAACACTGGATGAGTCAACGAGTCATATGCTGTACAGAAACAACACTTATTGAGTGAACGAGTGACACGCGGTACAGAAGCAACACAGGATGAGTGAACGAGTCACTTGCTGTAAATAAGCAACAGTGGATGAGTGAACGAGTCACATGCGGTACAGAAGCAACACTGGATGAGTGAAGGAGTCACACGCTGTGCAGAAGCAACACTGGATGAGTGAAGGAGTCACACGCGGTGCAGAAGCAATACTGGATGATTGAACGATTCACATGCGGTACAAAAGCAACACTGGATGAGCGAACGAGTCATATGTGGTACAGAAGCAACACTGGATTAGTGAACGAGTCAAATGCATTTCAAAAGCAACACTGGATGAGGGAAGAGTCACATGCTGTGCAGAAGCAACTCTGGATGAGTTAACGAGTCACATGAGGTACAGAGGAAACACTCGTTGAGTCAACGAGTCATATGCGGTACAGAAGCAACACTGGATGAGTGAATGAGTCACATGCGGTTTAGAAGCGACAGTGGATGAGTGAACGAGTCACATACAGTACAGGAGCAAAACTGGATGATTGAACGAGTCACGTGGGGGACAGAAGCAACACTGCATGAGTGAACGAATCACACCCGGTACAGAAGCAACACTAGATGAGCGAGCGAGTCATATGCAGTAAAGAAGCAACACTGGAAGAGTGAACGAGTCATAAGCGGGACAGAAGCAACACTGGATGAGTGAACGAGTCAGATGAGGTTCAGAGGCAACACTTGATGAGTGAACGAGACACATACTATACAGAAGCAACACTGGATGAGGAAACGAGTCACATGCGGTAGAGAAGGAACACTGGACGAGCGAGCGAGTCACATGCAGTACAGAA